CGAAAATACACAAAATTTAAACTCATCCTGTAGATTCTTCTTAAATAAAAGAATTATTAAATGCTGAAAATCCGAAATAGAGAACTTTTTACATGTGAGGAAACAAGTGTGTACAAAGATTATGATTGGCATTCCATAATGAATAGCATGTGAATAAATTCTCACGGGCCAAAATCTTATTAAAGGACACTGAGGAATATAAATCTTGCTTATTAAAAAGCAGACAATAGGACAAGTGCAAGAGTTAATCAAGTATGTGGTTCAGTTACACATGCCCTGAATCAAGATTAGATGTTGAAATGTGTTACTATGATTTTAATATTATTATTCTAACTATTTTCGTGCATTAAGGGGTTATAAATATAAGAATACAATCTCTTCCATCACAAGAGAAAACTTTTTGCTGTATTAAGACTACGGATCTGAATGCATTTTACATGGAACATGAATTGTCCTTTGTGCATTCCTGGCGACAGTAGGTTAAGTCTCTAGATAACAACTTCAGACTGGCTGCATACTTCATTATTTTTTCGCCTTTACAGTTGTTAAAACTTTATAGAGCCTCAAAACATATCCAGATGGACAGTTACTGTGACTGCCACTTATGAAACCAGTATAATCTAGTACAATACACAAAATAGGGTAAGTGCGGAAAGAAAACAAGTTCTGAATAGAGGACCTCCTCAGAATATTGGATCAGCCATCAGACACACCAATTCTGTTTAGACAGGCCTGTTATACACACCCAAATGTTCCACAAAACAAAGCAAACCCCCAACCTTTCACCACTTTCCTCCTAAACACTCAGCCCAAGGGTGGTCTTCACCCTGCTTGATCCAGTATTTGTGCCTACATCTTTATTCACAAAATGAAGCTCTTGTTTCCATAACTTTTTGGCAAAGCTGAGATACATAAACCATTTTATTCCTCTCAGAGGAATATCATATCTTGGCAGCTTTATTTGAGTATGACCTTTTCAGATATGCAACAGCAAAATATGAACAAATAAATTACTGTACTGATGTGTTGCCATGCTTTTGCCAGTGGATTCTCCTTCACACCTCCTTCAGCCTGCGTGCATGAAACTAGGATTATCACAAACACTATGAGCAGAGAATTTGGTCAAGATGAAAACATTTGAAAATACAATCTTTGTTCACTTGCTGGATGATGGCTTCTAAGCACATGAAAGTAGCAAACTATAGTAGCTGTTATAGATTTTTTTTTTTTTTTTTTTTTGTGATGGGTGCAAAAAAACTTTCTACTGTTTGTGTACCGTATACAAATATCTCAACAGGATGATTACATAATGGAGTCAAGAAATGAGAAAAAACGAACAAGTTTACGATCTTTACAGCAACTAAATCTATGGCTTCATTCCTCACTTCAGCTAGAACGGGTGCTTATTTCAGCAGTTTTGACGCCTATGTCTATTTACTTGTGTGCTGATGGAGACATATCTCAGTGCAGCAGGCATTCTCATTTACTTTTTTATTAGTTACATTCCACAAATTTCCAACCTAAGTGTTAGCAATTAAGGAAATTGTTTGGGAAATCAAAATTTTAATTCATGGAATTTTGTCTCCTTTTCTGCCTTTTCATTTCAATTCCTTGTAGTCAAATTATGTGTTTCAACCTGGTGCTACAGTTCAGGTTGTATTCCGGTTGCTTCTGGAGAGACTTTTTAAATGCAGTGTGTAAAAAAGACACTATCTCTTAACACATGGTATTAGAGCTGTGGTTTAGTTTGCTGTTTTGCAAGAAGAGATTGCTTGCCATATGCCTTAGCAGAACCTTCTTTTCTTCTAATCTTGTAAGGATATTGAAAGGTTGGGGTTTTTTGTGTTATGTTTTTTTTTGTTGTTGTTGTATGTGTGTGTATGTCGTGATTAAATGAATTGATTATGAAGTATTTAATTAGGCTATGACTACTGCCATGAGTTGCGAAGCTAAATACTGGGTCATTCAGCTGTACTTCCAATTAACTTAATGAAACACAAATAAGTTAGGTGAAACCTAAATAATCTTGGAGGCTTTTAAGCAGCTGTATCTATACAACCCTATCCTATCACACAAGGAATTTATCATTTCAGGTTTTTCTCAAATAAATTAATTAATCATAGATACGTATGGATATAGATATTAATTCCATAGTTATAAAAATATATACTGTGATATATATATGTTAGTTCTGATGTTTCTGCTTGTTTGTTTGTTTTTTCCATGTTGAAAACAAAGCTCTAATCTCTCATATTTCATCTCCCCTCCATTTTGTACCAGAAGTGACCAGACAACTTGAGCAGTTAGTTGCATGTGAGTAACGAGAATCAGATCATAAACAAAAGCTCACTGGGGCTTCAATTGGCTAAGTACAAGAGCAGAATATTAAACACGAGCCCTGCCTAGGTAAAAAAATTTCCTTTATCGTGCACATGGCATACAACAAGGTTTCATGTCTCTTTCTGTATGTCTGGTGCCACAGACTCCGTAGGGATCTGATTTCATTTAGATGCCTGCTCCTTGAAGTACTAGCAGTCAGAGGAGCAGCTATTTGCTGACATATTGCTGGGTTACACCTTTATCACGTGATTTTCTCTCACAGTAGTTCATGAAATAGAAAACTCAATCAAACAACTGGAAACAGAAGCTAGTGCAAGAGTATTCATGCAGGCAACATTTGGATTTTGTGATTTCTCCACTTACCAGAAGAGTTTATTAAACATTGAATACAGCAGTCAAGTCGGTTAAGAACTAATTAGAGATTCTAGCATACATTAGAAAATGTGCTGTGTTGTTAATAAACGCTATCATTAACCAGTGCTGTTTTAAACATCAGGACATACAAAAAGTGATAGAAGTGATTTAAAATGACTTACTTCGCACTTTGTGGCTGCATCTACTTTACACCTTTTAATTTTTCAGCCTTCTGCCTTTGAATTCGAGGAAACCATAACAAAACAGAGGTTAATTGTTTTGATATATTTTCTTCAGAAATTCTCCAAACTTTCCATTTAGTGAATTATGTGTGAATGTGTAATACTTGGGAGGGGAGTGACTGAAGCCCTTCAAAGACATAGGTAAGAGAGACTTGGCTCCTCCCCCCCATATGCCTCCTAATTTTTCAACTCTTGATTTTGAGTAGAAAATAGGATGCATTTTGTTTAGCTGGAGGGAATGCTTTTCTAAGTTCCATAGAGTCATTAGTGAACTTGGGTAGCTAGATTACATATAAACAGTATTTTTGCTCTAGATAAACCAGTTGAAAACTAGGCAGTCTCTGCTGATCTCACAGAAATTGCTTAGATTTAATTCATAGTAGTTGGAACTAGAGATGATCTATATAATGAACTATGTGTAATATCACTTAAAAATAATGTAAAAAGGCTTGGCTTGACAGAATGTAACTGAAGACTAGCAAAAATAGGGCATTTCAATATGCAAATGCTATTCTTTAACAAAGTTCTGCACCAGAAAAATGTGAATCCAAAGAAATAATTAGTGTATTTTTTCTAGATGAAAGAGCATGAGTTAAGGTTCATGAAAAGGTGGGTTAGTTTTGTCTCCATCAGCAGATTGTAAAAATACAAAAATTGAAAACAAAGGGGAGAGGGAGATATTTCCTGAACCATTTATCTGAAATCCTCCTATTTCCTCCCATCTTTTCTTTTTAGGCACATTTGGACAAACATCACTCAGCCTTGTTACTTTAGACCTTCTTGTTGATGTTCTGTGGGTTTCCACTTTGTTTCTACATAATCTGAAAAAATCATATTTGCATCACAAGCTGACCAAAATGTTCTTTAATTACTTCCCAAGAGCTTTGCTTCATTCTCTGAGTGGGTACCACTTTGTTGCTACGGTGAGGAGCTTGTCAACGCTCCCTTTAGAGATATCTAACTTTACAGGATACTGTAACCCAGCCAACCTGTGGAACTACAACTCATTTTACAAGTTTTCAGGAAAGATGCCAGTTTTTTAACGTGTTTACACTGAAATTACTTGGCTATTTTTTCTTTTTGCTTTTACTCAGATGTGAGTACAACAGTACAACCACAGCAGACCAAATATGTGCCAAGTCTTTTCTTGTCAAGGTGGCCCTTTACTCCTGGCTCTTTGCTGCCTTTCTTAGACAGTCTTTCAGACTTGAATGTCTGTCAGTTCTAACGTCTTCCTCGGGAACTCACTATCCAGCTGCTTTTTTATGTGATATCTTCGTCTCACTTTTAATCCTTACTTGACCTTGAAGACTGTTCTCAAAATCGGGTCATCAAATATTTAACCACTCATTAGAAATATAGAGGTTTTCAAAATAAGATATTGAGGGACACCCTCTGCTTCAGTGGGTACCACAAACCATCTTTTTGTAGCCTCACATTTCATCTGTTACTATGAGTAGACACATAGTAATTGAGTATCAATTCATTTGGCTCTGAGATGGCTTCTGCTAGTGGATAGGGAGAACATTTTAGGTTCTTGTGAGCGGTGCTATGGCCACCAACCAGAGTACTCCCCTCCTTCACAGGAAAGGCAAGAAGTCTCTGCATACATGAAGCCTTCAGAAGTTTTCAGAGCAGTTGGATCAGGTTCAGATAAATTTCTGGCTTTCTCAGTTTTTACACATGAAAAATCTGTGACTGATTTGAAAATTGTCAGTAATGCCTTCTGTATTTGTTCTGCCCGTGGGGATTTTAAAAATTCGGATTGGAGCAGCTGAGGGTGAAAGAAAGTTCAGCCCTTATCAGTCACCCGTATTTGCTGAGGCAGTTTCATAAAAGCAGTGAAATGAATGCAGAAACAAAAACTGGGGACTTCTTGATAATGTTGTAGGTCAAAAACAAGATAAGAGAAAGAAAAAGGCAGGCATAGCTACTTCAGCTTGCATCGTATGTGATTCAAATAAAAGGAAACAGATTTTGATATTAAGAGTGTGGGTGAGGTAGGCGTACACATTACATTAGAGATACAAGGTCAAACACAGAAATGTTTCTTCCAAATTGAAGTCCAGGGAATTGCTGATGAGATCGAGCCCACCTGGAGCAAGTGAGAACCTGATTGTGAGGGGCCTGATGATAATCCTTGGACAAGCACTCTTCTCCTCAAGCCTGGCGTGAACTCAGAAATCTGCTGCTGAGCTGGGACCGCTTTGCCTCGCCATTAAGCGAAACTGGAGCAGAGTTGAGCCCTGTATCGAAGCTCGCTTATCCCCAAGGTGAACACGCGCATCTGTTTTAATATTCGACTGTTTTCTTGTACACTTTGATATTTCCTTGCTGGTAACTTTTGGGTTGTTTACACAGGGTGAACCATTTTACCTGCAAAACTGTAAAAAGGGAAAAGCTAACGAGGGTCTATGAGGTGTTATGGCAGAGGTGATGAGGTGTCTCTATTGGACCTCTGCAAAGTACTTTGCACACTGGGGATAAAATCTCTGTTTTGCCAATTTCTTGGGGAAGATGGGAGACAGAGCTTTTCCCAGCAATTGCTCTGCTGCCTGCATACATGTAGGCAACCTGTGAGATGTGGCATGCCGAGTACCCAGGAAGGGGTCTGCTTCCCTGGCTGCAAACGAGTAGTAATCCTTCGGCCACAGGTTTCAGCCATCTTTATGCTCTAGTAATGGTAGATCAGTCTTAATAAGGAAAAGCTCTGCACCAGTTTCAGTTTCCTTCTAAATGGTGTAATGACATCAACTGCTGTATGCAGATATTGAAGCTTCTTACCAGTGGGAGGGCACTGGCAAATTCTTCACAGCCAATTTTTATACATGATGGATGCATTAGCTTCTTTTCTTGCCAAGGAAAACCTAGGATCTTGGCTTTCAGGCTCTTTAAATTTGTCTTGGCCAAATAGTGCAGCATTGAAGTCTCAATGAGCAGCACATTACAACCTCTGCAGTATAGCCTTGGAGTCCAATATCAGAGAGATTTCTCTGCTTCAAGGATGCAATAGTAAAAATAAAGGTGACTTTTTCTGCTTAGGTGATGCGCCTCAATTCTGCGCGGATCATGCCCAGCACCTTCCTGAGAAAAGATTTCTGTGAGACTTCAGCCTGCAGAACACTGTTCGTATCTTCTGTATGCAGAGATTTTTGGGACTCATTGGAGAGTTTTTGCCCTAAGAAAGAAATGATTTGAGACTTTCGCAAGGCAAATAATGAAACATAATCACTATGGGAATCGGTTTGTTGGAGCTGGAGGTAAGAAGGAAATAGGAGCATTTCACTTAACCACATTTTGAAATTTCAAAGATTTAATCAACTCATGAGAAAAATTACATCATTCCAAGATCAGAATTTTTTTTTTTTAATAATAAATTAGAATCTAAAGAGGTTAAAATTAGAAATTAAATTGTAACTTAAAAAAATATGAGAAAATTCACTAGACTTTTTGAAAGGGTACTTGTAGTAATAGGATGATAAGTAAGAGGTGCGGAAGTATGGCTAAAACACAGCTTCTTTCAGAGCTCTGTTATCCTGTGAATACTGGATGTGTTGCTGTTTTTGTAATTAACAACTAACTTCTGCTGGGATTATGTTCTTCTGAATTATGTTCATCACCCGCTTGAATGAATAGGATGGATAATAGCTTTACACTAGTCCCCACAATTTTTTATATACTATATCATCCAGTTTTTATAAAATCATTCCATAATTTATCATACAAATATTTTTATATGTTTTCCCTGAAGTGGGAGGGGAAAATTAGCTCCCACGGTGTGAAATATTTATTGAATAAACAGCAGGTAACTTTGAGCTAACCTGGCTAAAGTCCTGCTGAGAAGGGCTTGGACCATTTGCAGCCAGTTTGCATGTGTTTTCTGCCATTTTGATGCTTTTTTGTCTCTTGATTTGCTTTGTGACAATCTGTCAGTACTAATCTGAATTATGCATAGCATAAAAAACAAAGCAAAACACAAAACAAAGTAAATAGAACAACAACAAACTAAAAGAGAAGTAAAATAAAAAGGAAAACAAAAATACATTTAGATGGAAACAAAAAAGAACAATACAAAAACAGAAGTTGCTGTATATCAGCAATATACATGTTGAGGGTACCAACCTAAAGTTATGCATATAGACATGGTATATCAGTGTTGCACCTGTGGGCATACTCTGGGATGGTGGTGTAATGTTTGCATGAGGCCTGCTAGTGAAATCAGGTAGTGCAGATAGAGGCAACGGCAAATCAAGACTTGAGTCCCCATCACTGTCCCACGGGCTGTGTGTGAAATGAAGCGAGAGTGATGGCCAGGGACTGTCACACAGCTCTTCTCTAGAACTTCAGCACATTTGGCCACAGTGAACACTCACTGGCTGTAACACTGAGATGTGCAGACGAAAGTGTTGTGGAAAACTTCTCTTGTTCTTTTGCTTTGAAGTGACTGTAAACACATCTAAGATAAAAATATACTGAGCATTTGTATTGTGTTGTTTGAAACTAGGTATTCTATTTCCCAAAGATAATGCAACAGTTACTTTTCTGCTTTACTTACAGTGCTTTTCCTCAGCATCAGTTGCTACTAAATAAGTCCTCATCATTTTTCAAGGGTGTAACTTACAACAGGCTGCAATAACAATTACATATTGTTTTCAAATAAGATGCCATTTTCCTTTCTGGCTGACAGCATTGGTTTTTTAATGTGTAACATTTGTTTAATAAAACTCACAGATGCTTCCTTAACAGTTGCAAAGGAAGAAGAGAAGAAAACAAAATTAAAGAAAAGGCAGAAAATATAAAGAGCAAATGAAAGATTTAACTTCTGTCACAACTATTCTCATTGTGTCCAAGAAACATTTGCATACTTTTGTTGGACCAGACATCTGCTGAGCATAGTTTGCATAGCAGGGATGCCCTATCTCTTGATTCCATGTTTTGCTGCAGCATTGTTTTGATTCTCTGCAAATGAAGGAATGCAAAGAGTATCCATGTTTTATCAGAAGGCCCAAACTTCATGAAGATCACAGCATTTTGGCTTTTGTGTTTCAGAAAGCAATTCAGCAGAGCAAGACAGATTTTCCTTTTGATTACTCAAGGCTGACATATCTCCAAGATCTGCCTATCCTTTCTAGTTAATGGAGCTCACTAATTTCTTCCCTTTCTTTGGAGTAAGAGGTAATGTGTTAAAATTTTTCACCAAATTTTTTTTTTTTTTTTTTTTGGTAAACTGAAAGAAATCTCATCCTGCTTTCAGGTTTTCTGATGTTCAAGCAAACAAACATAAAATGAAAATCCACTTTGATTCCAAAGCTCTATTAAACATAACCAGCAAATATCAACTAGTAACTTCACAGCTACAAAAGGATGTGGGACCAAGAGAGTAGTTTTCTTTTGCTCCCCCAGCTGGCTGCAGAGCTCTTGTGAGATCTTTGTCTCCCAGCTTGTGCAGCAACCTAAGCCTTTCCAGTGTGTACTGTGAAACACTATAGGAAAGAAATGGAAGAGGTTTATGGTACAAAGAGGGCCAGCATGGTGAAATCAAACATTCACAGCAAATGGAAAAGCCCACATGAACAGAAGAAGAAAGTCAGTAGTCCTGGATGTTTCTTACTCCATGTCTCTTTTTGAGTCCATCAGGATATCTAGTGTGGTGGTAAGACACGAATTGAGAAATGAGTCTGTCAGCAAAGCCTAATTGCTGATGTCCCGAAGGAAGAGCTGCTTGACTGTGAGTGCTGTGGTCAAAGTGGCTGGACAAAATACAGGAGCCTCTATATCCTGCGTTAAAAAGAGAAATGAAGTTTTGTATGGGTGTCTGCAAAGCAATCCTGCTTACCCTACAACAGGTGTTCTCCCCAGGCTTGGGAAGAAGCTTTCCAGGGAAGACGGCATCGTGCTTTTTGTTCCAGCACTCGCTCCATCAGGATGCAGCCCTCAGTTGTCCACTGCTCCTCACTGTACGTGGAGTTGAGTGTCTGAATGTCATATGAAACAGATTCAGTGAATTTTCACTCATCACAATCCTTGAATTTCAACAGACATCTGTACAGTATTTTTTATGGTCCAAGGAATACTGCAGTGAAAATACCATTTCCCAAACTTGGGTGATCCGCTAAAGTTTGCAAGTCCAGTTCATGTCACAGTGTGACAAGGGACCATTATAATTTTTAACTAAAAACTGAATCCTTTCATAATGTCTTCAGCTCTTTCAGATGGTTGTCAGAAAGCAACATGAGTCAGGCTCCATAGGGAATGGGGCATCACATCCTGACCTTGGCGCATAGACATTTTTATTTCAGACATCACACAAACAGCACTCTGGTGTGAAAAGCAGTGGGCAGACACTGCCTGGTAATGGATGGCAGGCTGGAGAGGGAGCAGTTCCCAATTCACAGAGCTGCCACACTTTCCCAGACCAGCCTAATACTTGTGATAATATTGTGCTCAAAATCTCTACTGGAAAAGGAATTCCCCAGACAACTGCAGACTGGAAGATACTTTCTCATTACCCACCAGAAACTATGAGCAAACTTGCCCATATTCAAAAGAAAGCCCAGAAATGCATATCGTTTGTATGCCACAGCAAGTCCATGTATTTTTCTTTTCATCCAGAACTAAAGTGATAAATGTTTTGCTTTTGTGTCTCATTTCCTGTCTGTACCTATTAGAGCTAGATGTTAGAAGTTACTGTAAAACAAGAGGAGACTGCTTTTTTTGTGTGTTTGTTTTTAGAGCAGGATTTTGAAAAACAGATACCTAGTAATAATCATGTCCAATCTTGCAGAAATGTCAAAATTATGTCCTTGTAAGTCTGAAGAATTGTTAAGGTACTGTTTTCTGGGGATCAGACAGAAAAATATCAGCCAAATTCACTGATGTCTCCTGATGGCTTAATGTTATTTTAAGCGGTAAAATTCCCATTAGTTTAAATGGAAATATGCACAGCTTTTAAATCAGGACAGCTATATGTTCCATGTACATTTCCATTTACTATGTACTTGCATCATTGCAAACGTCTGAGCAAAAATTCGTGGCCGTGTTCTGTCCCTGCACTTCTACAGTCAGCCCATGCTGTTCTCCAGGCATGTCTTTCCTGAAGCTCTGCCTGAAGCATCTGTGATTCTTCAGACATTGGGACTCCATCGCTCACTTTCCTTAGGAGGTTGTGCAACAGTTTAGTACATATTGCTAAGATATTATTTTACTTCCAGCACTAACCCAAAATTTTATTTACATGAATTGAATTCTGTTCTTTTCAAATCATTTTCTTTTTTTTCTTCAATGGTGTTTCGTGAAGGTGTTCTTTTTTTTATTCCAGATAAGGTCAAACTTTTATTTGCAACTAGAACACAGTATCATTCCTTAGCTGGAGGGATCTCATCTGAAACAGGTATAGGTAATTACAGGCTGCACTTAGGGGTCTGCTAAAACTTTCTGCTTGATTAACTGTGCCTGCTGGGCTGAGAATTGCTGTTAGGCATGAAAGCATCCAGTGCCATGCAGAGACATGGTCCTCCAGCAGCTTTCAGGGCTGCTGATCCTCTTGTACCTCAGCAGAGACTTGGTGAAATGTGACGATTCAAAGTTACTAGAAGAGGAAGGAATGGGTTGTATTCTGGTTTAATATTGGCTGAAACCAAGAGCTCTTCTAACAAGCCCAAGAAATTAGGTGGGTCTGTGCAGCCAAAGTAACATGCAGCTCAGTCAGACCAGAATCTCAGAATCACAGAATTGTAGGTGTTGGAAGGGACCTCCAGAGATCATCGAGTCCAACCCCCCTAACTTTTTCTTTATATAAAAAACTAATTTCCAAGTGTCTTATGCCCATTTATCAACACTTGAAATCTGTACCAGGGAAACAAGGAGCAAATCTCCCATTTAATACTAAGTCCAAAATGATTTTTTTTTAATAACAATGCCTCCCATAATACTATATCCCTTGGATTTTTAATTGGAAGCCCTTTGGAAAAAAAGTAAAGCAAAGGAAAACCAGCAGTTCTGGAAATCATGAAATAATCTGGAAGACAAACCTGCATTTACAAAAAAAGAAAAAAAAACAAAAAACAAAAACTAGAGGAATGAACAAGCTAAAGGGCCCATCAAATATCAGAAGGAACAGGCAGCAGAAGAGAAGCACTATTTACTACAGCTGCCCTCAAATAGAGAAGAAAAAATAAATCAGTAGGCAACAGGGAAACAATCCAGAGGGAGAACAATGTTGTGTTCTACAGGCTAGTGCTATGTGGTAGCAGGTTTTTGAATGCAGGAACTG